TCCACCTAAGCAGGTGAGTGCGAATAACAGGTGAATGGGAGTAAAGTCTTCTTGGAGGCTAGCAGCGGAATTTAGGAAGCGCGTTTCATCCTTTTTATGGAACTCATCAGCTGGATTTACCTACCTGCCTGCTAGTGAGTGACGTCGTTCCAACTGGGACTCAAATGAATGGGATATTTTCATAATTATTGTCAAGATTTCCTTCATTCTGATTGGTAGGCTAAATAAGCACTGAAATCAAAAAAATGCTTTTTTCCCTCCGAAGTCGATATGAAATGTTTATATAATCAACCTGCAGCATCCGTTCTATACCGACAACAGAGAGCTATGTGTTCTACGCCTTATCGTCCGTTTAGCTACAGCATGACATTGGATAACATTCAGAGGACAATTGATGAACAGTACAATAGTGCAAATACTAGAAAATATCATCTTGTCCAAACAGCTGTTAGAAAAGTTTGGCTAACTGATAGAATCAAGCCATCACGTAACTTTCAGAAACCATTCATTATGGCTAAATGAACAATTATAGTGTTTAACTCAACTAAAACTATGGAAGGAGATCTGAGTTGTATCGAGATCCATTTGACTTGTACTAACTCCTATATAACACATTCCATCAGCGCTCAATTATAAAAAATCACCTAAAACAACTAAGTAGTCACTAGCTTCAGTTCTGCCTCACCTTCAAAACCCGTCATTAATCATTTGGATACTACTCAAATCTATTTTAAGTAGTTTAATTTAGCATCGACGATTGATAACATGAATAGGATACTGAATAAAATTCTAGAAGTCACTTAGAAACCGAATGATAGAAAGAAGGGGAAACAACGAAACTAACAGGAGAAACATATTCATTCAAAAAAGGAAATCAAAATCCTATTTTGTAGATAGCTGTTATCATTTATCTAATCATGAGTTGACTGACACTCCTTATTCTTGAATGAGATATTCACACTAAAACCTTCCTTACTCCAATTTGTATGGTTGTTCCTTTCTGTATAATTGACTGATGTGTGTAATGAGGCTTCAATCATGTCGACTAGTTGTTAGTTAATAAAGGTTGTGTATTGCACTAGATTCGTTAATTTTGTTTGACTGCTTAATCAACTATTCCTTGTCTACTATTACTCAGTGATATCCTATGTACTGTGAATTTTCGTTTAAAGTGTCACAGCCATCATTGTAGAATAAAACTTAACAATTCTGTATCCACAATTTAAAAAATGTCCGCGTCATTTCTACTGGACTTAGATGTGATTGTTTCACGCCATTCAACTTAGATGTTACCTAACCTCATGATCTCATGATTTCATAAACCATATGAAACATATTAACCTCACACAACCCGTAAAACAGAAGACTTTTCAATCAACTCAACTGTCCTACTTTTTGTACAGGTTTCTCACAGGGAAAATGCTGTTTTTGAATAATTCCATACTACCTTATTGCGTTGCAAATAGATCTCAGATCGCTGACATTCAAACCCATACTTTTTCTTCGAGTAAAATTCTCTGTTATTCACAGTGAAGTTTCTTAGCTAATTAAGGATAAGCTATCAAAAAATGTAAAGAAGTAACAAGGTTGTGCTGCGATGAACACCACCTGTAAGAATCTATATCACTAGTATGCAGTACAATATCGAGAAACACAAGAAGTGATAACAATCAAGTACTAAGGATTTGGGATCGGAAAAGATACAAAATAGGGTCAAAATTTAGAGGGTAATAATATTCTGCACTGGGATACTAAACAAGTAGCAAGGTTGAAAATGCGACTCCACTGTATAACTATGCACTTTTATACACTTATTCCAGTTGCGAGTGATGTTGTTCCACTGTGGCTCGAATCCACTACCCTTCGCTTCAAACGTCGAAGCGTTATTCACTAAGCCACCGGAGTACGATAGCCAATAGATATCGAGCAATTAAACGCTGTATACCAATAGGAAATTATAAGTACCATTACAATAACTGGTACCCGTTGCACAAGAAATGGCTATTGTACCCCAATGACGTAAGCGATAACGCTGTGGTGTTTGAAGCGAACGATAGTGAGTTCGAGCTTCAGTGGGACCAAAATCACTCCGCACTAATATGCAGATATACCCATCTGATGAATTACAAATATAACGAAACTCACATCCTGGATTTCGTAGTTAGTTGCCAAGATCAATACAACTTATCATATTCTGTAGGTTGTAAAGCAAATGATGAAAATTCACGAAGTATGTGCATGCTAATTCTACCTCTATTTTTCTTCTTGCGTTATTGAAATTCATATTTTTATGATTACCAATCATAATTGTCCAATAAACAATCTTTATGGCTAGACTAAACTTCCTTTCAATACTGCAATCCCACGCCATTATCATATTGATCCCAAAGTCATGTTTCCCGTTGTAATAAAGTCCTTCCCTTGAACTAAAAATATCAGTACTCTTGATAGTAAAGTTAAGCTCTGGTGAACAATTACATGGTGAGTCAATTCGTAAAAGGTTTGAATAAAACAGACAAAAAAGTTACAGGAGTTAATAAAAAGATATTCCTATACGGTGTAATACCAATAATGGTAAAAGTACTCATTATCATCAAAGTGGGCGAAATAAGAATGATAACTAAGTGGATCATATAGAATGCAGAAGAATGAAGCTATAAAGAAGACACCGCCAGCCATCAATGCAACAAAATACGCGAGCGATCTCTCAACGAAAGAAATAAGCTTGACCGGAGTTAAAATTCTCGAGAAAAGTCTCTTCTTCAAAGTGTCCTATGGGTTCCTAATGGAACATAGGGATTCACTAGCACGTCTCCAACGCGATCTGTTCTCTGAAATCTTTTCAACCTGGCTCCACGACAGACCACAAACTCTCATTTCCTCCTCATACGATCGCCTCTATGTTACCCACGCCTCGAACGGCCAACTCGTCACTTCCCATCTGGGTTCCACTCGACGGCCTGACATGGCATGGCGCGTCATGTCCCCAGTCAGCCTTCTCAGTGCATGTCCAATCCCATCCATCTACACTTCATTACACTGCATATTTGTTGACTGATAGGTTGTTGGTTGGTTCGTTGACAGCCAGCCAGCCAGCCAGCCAGCCAGCCAGCCAGCCAGCCAGTCAGCCAGCCAGCCACAGTGAGTTCCTTGTTGCTTATTCTTATTATTCTGGCAATCCATCTGATCTTCAGTAGTGAGTGTAGGCAGTTGTTGATGAATGTGTGTAGTTTGTTGGAAATCCCTTTCGTAACGCGCCAAGTCTCTCAACCATCACATAGAAGCACCGACTTGACTGGGTTGGTGTTAAAAAGCCAGATCTTGTTCCCACTTCATGCTGAGTGCAGTGCAGAAGATCTACACACTGGTTTCAGCCTAATGAATGCCTAACTCGCTTTTCCGATCCTGGTTGATTTGACATCCTCGTCTGTGCCACCACCTGTGGTTGAAACAGTGTTGCCTAGATAGGTGAAGGAGGCTACTTCTTCAAGTTTCTCTCGTTCATGGTGATTGGAGTTTGTTGTTGTTGGTGGTGGTTGTGGTGGTGGTGCTGGTTGCTTATCTTCACCTCTGTTCTCTCTACATTCACCTGAAGTCCCGTCTTCGCTGTCTCGCCTCACCTCTTCTGTCAACTTGTTAGTTTTCGCCTGTAGATCTTCGAGTTTGTGTGACAACACATCAGACACAAGTCATCAACGAAATCTAAATCTTCCACGTTCTTTTCCGTGGTCCAGCCAGCCAGCCAGTCTATCCCCACCCTCACCCCCACCCCCTTCTCACACCTCCTCACTGTTTGTTGCATCATCCAGTCGACCACAATCACGAATATCATGGGTGATAGTAGGTGGCAGCCTTGTTTCACTCCTGTCTCCACTTCACTTCAAAGGCATCACTGAGCTTTCCATTGTGAATTACTTGGCTGGCATGTGGCGTCTTCATATGGTTGTTGAATGAGACTGATAAAGGTTTGTGGTATTCCGTAGCATTGAAGCAATTTCCAAATTACTTGTCGGTTGACGCTGTCGAAGGCCTTTTCAAATTCGATGAAGTTGAGGTAGAGGGTTAACTGAAAAAGATGTTGGGGACTGAATTGAGATAAAGACATGGATCTGGTAGGTCAGTTGGTAGAGCACTGGGTTCGTATTCCTGTAGCGACTTAGATCTTCAACGTCTTCCAGTATCAGTTAAGTACATGTACATGCATATCCCGTTCTTGGGTTTGTTCTGACAGACGGACTTTTATCGACCGTTTTCTTGGTTATTTCAAAACCTCTTTACCTACACAACTTTGTTGAATTCATTTTGTTTGTCAATTTCATCTTCAATCTCACTATACTACTTACATTCTTTTATTGTTCACATGTTTTGCATGTATGTATGTATTGTTTATCCTATTTAAGAAGAATCATTTCGAGTCAGTTTCTCCCTTTCGTGTGTATACAAAAGTATACACTTATCGAGTGATCCAGAGTACCAATCATTTTGGTCAATCTATTCAAATATGTTTTATTGTCCCAAAAAAAATTTATACATTATTCAGAATTAAATTCGCTTTTCACAGACATACGCAGACACCCCGCCAATCCATACAACAGAGAACTAATTTCTTCTGTATTGATTGAGCGTGGGGCTTACTGTTATAGCCTGCTTATATCTTGCCGATAGTCTAGCAGACAGACATAAAAATGACAGAGGATATGCCTATTTGATAGGTAGTTTAGATGTGTGCTGAATTGACATACAATTTGTCAGAGTTTGTGAACAACAGAGAGGCGAAGAACAGGAGAGATGAAAACTAACTGAATCGATCAGATACACTTTCATCAATAAGACTATTTCACCGATGATGTTGATAACAATAATAATAAACTTTGCTGAGACAACAAAAGCATAAAGTGGCATGGTATAAATTTTTGAGAAGTCTTCCAACAAACGTATAATGTATGTTTTATTCTTTAGGATTTTTGGATTTCATTATTATCATTGTTATGCTTTTGTAGAAGAGATATTCAGAGTAGACAAACTCAACAGCGTAATTCCAAAACCTATCACGGTGGCCTTATCAACATTTATGCCAAATAATTCGGATAATAATCATCCTAAACCACTGAAGTAAGTACTTTATCATGATTCTTCCTCTTTTTGGTATATATTGACAATTTTTTTAACCTCTTGATATCAAGAAGAGAAGTTCATAGACATCAATTAGGCCAGCTAAGTTCAGTACTACTATGAATACACTAGGAAACTGATGAACAATAGTAATATAATGTTCTATTGGCACAATTTTCTTGAAGTTTGTTATGTTACAGGAGTCGCCTCAAGTACTGAACTGGTAGTATCTTTCTGATATACCAAAATGAGCTATCGTGAAAGAGTATGAAGGCCTGTGAATCACATAATTAGCATTGCTACCGGTTAAAACATTTATTCAATGAAATGTAGTAATAAGTTCTGTCTCATAATTCAGTAGATAAAGTAAACAAAGAAACCAGTAACCTGAAAGTCACCAATTGAAATCTTTTCATGATAGAAGTTTTAGCTTCACCTTTAATCACCATTGGTTATTTCGAAAGAAAGCTACTTACATGAGCCAACAGTTCTCAGATATCGTAAATAAGTTGTAATGACTGGTATGACTAACATTATTAGTCTTTATTTCGTTACATGATATTTCCAAGTGTTGACTCCAAGGAATGAGGTTTTCAGTCTTTGTTAGCAAGTTAGCTCCTTCCCCAGATGCCTCATTAATGCTTATGGTCAAATCTTATCTACACATAACGAAGTGCCTTAAAATGGAAGCCAGAACGCATAAATAATTTACAAAAAGTCATACAACAGAACATTTCACATAGATATGAATCTTTCCAATTGATAATTATGTAGTCAACAAGATATTATGTTGCTGTTCGTATTATCAGGTTGTTGAGTGGACCAAATTGGTCCGTCTCTATCGGTATATGGGCTCCTGCACGAATGTCTCGATACAGCCCGTGTTTTAATTTTATATTAGTGATGGGTAGTGGCTACCAGTGGAATCGTGACTAGCTGGCCTAGTGGACAACAATGTGGAGTTTGGAGTAATCGGTACTGAGTTAGAGTCTAAGTTGGAACAACATCGCTCACCAGAAGGCAGGTATATCCAGCTGACGAGTTCAAAATAAGACGAAAGTGGGTCCTGGATTCCACTGCTACCCACGATTCATCATTATGACAAGACATTTAGTGAAAAGGGTTTCAATCAGCTTTTTAAATGGCATTTAGCTTTAAAATCGAGGTTACATCACCCACCAAATGCTTTAATGATAAGTTTCAGGAATCTTGAGAACGCATGAAAGGAGAAGAATTACAGTACAAGCTTTAAATACATCACTTGTCTGGTGAAATTGATCTATAATCTACACAGATAGTTGGCAAAATCCTGTCCAGCAGTATACTTCAACTAAAATCATTCAGTTCCACTTACTCTGCCTTATAAAAGTGATGATACTTTTCTACACAAGCCAACATAAATTCAAGGAACATCGAGTATAAGGCAATAAGCACTGAATACATCTTTTTTCCAATAAGTGTAACAATTCTTTGAAATGTTCACTTTTAGCAGTTTTCGGGTAGTGAACTGTTATCTTCGAGGTTTTTTTGGACAGCACAATGGTAGTGAACATTTTGAGCCAGATATTTAGCGTCTATTACATATTGAAAACTGTGGCAGATATTTGTAGCTCAGATTACGGATGTTCAAAGTGAACTAGGGTTTCAGTTGTAAAATGTCTCAAGGTCATGCTGGACATCATCATCAGTCCTTCACAAGGAAGTGAGGTAATTGGTTTTACATGGATATTTATAATATGTTGCTTTGTCTGAGTTTAACCCAACTGGTTACTTGACGAGTGCGTAGGCGGTCGCTAAACCTGATTGATTGGTTTCTTCTATTCCTTTCTAGCACCTTGATGCCAGTTCGTTTTGATTGGTTTGACCTTCTCTTTGAATTAATTGATGAAGGTCGTTTTATCCTGACTGGTTGAGTCCTACATATTAGATAGGGGATGTTTAGTTCTGATTCAACTAAGTGCAAGCGTGTTCTTTGATACTGTTGGTTGATTAGATTGTACTAAAGACGGGGATAAAATAGACGTGGAGACAACAGAGGACATGCTCACACCACTACTGCAGAAGGTTTGGAAGGAAGAAAAGGTACCTGCAGATTGAGTGGAAGAAGGGCTACCTTGTCAAACTTCCAAAGAAAGGCGACCCAAGTCTTTCCAAGAACTGGCGTGGAATCATGTTCCTGTCCACCCCAACCAAAATATTAAGCCGCATCACACTGGAGAGATTGAAAGGTGCTGTGGGTTCAAAATTACAACCGGAACGGACTGGCTGGCTTCAGGAAGAACAAATCATGTGAGCATCAAATGCCAACGCTACGCTACGCATCATCATAGAACAGAACATAGAATGGTAGTCAACTGAATCTTTATCTCAAATTCATCCACTTTGAAAAGGTCTTCCATAGCGTCAACCGAGCAGTAATTTGTCAGGCAGCTGCCTCAACACTACGGTCTCAGTGCCACATACATTTATCAACATCATTCAACGGCTATATCCTATGCTATATGATGAGGCTACATGCTGAGTGATTCTCAAAACAATGGAAAGCTAACTGATGCCTATGAAGTGGAAGTGAAGACAGGAGTAAGACAAGGCTTCTACCTACTATCACTTATGATCTTCCTGACTGTGGTCGAATGGACTCGACTGGATCATGCAACATACTGTAAGGAGCGAGAAGATGGGCATACGCTGGCCCGACCAATGAAAAGACACTAGAAGACTTGGATTCCACCGATCATGATTAATATCTAGTGTTGCACAAACTTGAACATCTACAGGCAAAAATCAAAACGTTGATAGAAGAGACGAGGCAACGAAGGAAGACGGGACCTCAGGTGAACGTAGAGAAGAGAGAAGTGATGAAGACACCCAACCGACAACATCAAGCACTGATCACCATCGACGGGAGAAATCGAAAGGAAGTTATCTCTTTCACCTACCTAAGGCAGCATCGTTCCAACTACAGGTGGCGGCGGCGGTGCCACAGATGGGATACCAAAGCAGCCACGATCGGAAAGACAGCAACACAGGCCATCCTTCATTTGCCTAAAATCTCTGTGGAGATCTACTCCACTCCACTCCACTCACTATAAAGCACCAACGACATCCGCATTTTAAACACTAATGTCAGTCAAGTCAGTGTTTCTATGTGATGATTGAGAGACTTGGCGGCACGTTACGGAAAGTACTTCCAACAAACAACTGTACACATACATCATCAACAGCTGCTGCTACCTACACTCACTCGATACTGACACTGATAGATAGATGGTGAGAATAATAAGAATAAGCAATAAGGAACTCACTGTGGCTGGCAACGAACCAAACAAGAGCCTATCACGCAACAAATATTCAGAAAGTCGAGATGGATTGGACATACACTGAGAAGACCATTAGGGGACATCACGCTCTAGGTCATCGAGTGGAAGGCAAATGGGAAACGACGAGTTGGGCATCCGAGGTGAGGGTGACATGGACGAGATAGTGTGAGGAGGAAATGGGAGCTTGTGGTCAGTCGTGGAGCCAGATTGAAAAGACTGCAGAGAAGAGAGTGCAATAGGGTAGTGCTACTGAAACACTATGTTCCACTAGGAACTCAAAGGATAAATAAAAAAATAATAACGAGATGGGAATTCTCTGTATACTAAGTGTTTAAGTGCAGGAGGTTGGTTAGCTGTAGATGACCTTTCTTGATCTAAACGATTGCTGATGCACATTTTGTTTGCATCGAGTGTTTCTCTGCATTTGGATTCACCTACAGATATCGAAACCGATTTCGGCATTGAGTAAACGATGTTCACTATTCAGGTATTTGCATTTAAAACGAAATAAATTTGTTTGAGGATAGGTTGAGATCAGGCCAAACTACGTTTTATCCCGTCATTCCTTCCTATTTAAACAATTTTGATTCCATTTTATGTGAAGAGATTCTCCTATGCTATGAAACATTCTTTATAATTTCTAAAGGCTTTCTGAATAATTTCAATATTGTCAAAATCGCCCGTGTGACCTGAAATTATATCATGTAGAGCTGTGGCTGATGTATTTTCAAGTTTTTTTCAGCCCCACTAGATTTCTATAGGGGGTAGGGTAGGGGGTGGCGAAAGCTATTTGTTGTTCAGTTTTCCTAATTTTGATTTTACGGGAAGTTTGTCCTATGTATGTTGTATCGTAGCTTGAGCATTTTATTTTAATGATAGCCTAGATATTAATTCTAATTTATTAGACTCAGAGACATCACTGACAGAAAGATGTCCACTGAATACTAGTGACATCATCAAGGCTCTAAAATTCTGCATTGAGACTGCTTACTTAACATATCAAACAAAACTACACAGACAAACTGACGGTATTGCTATGGGTTCACATGTTTCATCCATAGTAGATAACCCATTTATGAGTAAATTCGAAGTGTCTTCACTCATTTACTAAAGCCAAAAACTTGGTTGAGGTATGTTGAGACACACTACTAATTTTAAAATGTGACTTATACCAAGCATTCTCAGATCAGCTGAACTCCAGATCTTTCAGTAACATGTTCAGCTGAGAAAAAGAAAACAGACAATGGGAAACCACCTTTCCATGATTGGCTTGTTAAGAGGAAAGATAATGAACATTTAGGCATAACCATTTTCAGGAAAGCAACTAATTTGAACAAATAGTTAGATTTCAACTTATCATATTCAGTCACCAGTGCAAAAGTTTCTGTCGCCTCCAGTCTTTTAAGGAGAGCATATGCTCTAGTAACGGATGAAAATGAAAGAGTTAAGGAATTAAACTATATCAACAAGATGCTTAAAATGAATAATTATCCGGTGAAGTTCACTAGCAAAATAGGAAATAAATTAGATCGTAAAATAACTCATAAATCATGGGTGTGAATAATGATTATCCCTTACAGATCATACACATGGAATAAAATTAGGAGAGTGTTCAACAAGTGTAATACCAGAGTGTTTCGCAAAACATCAAACACATTACAGAACACCTTAGTTCATTTG